GGAAGGGGTCGAATTTGACATACAGTGGGGTGATGGTAGTTTGAAGTGAGAAGTCGAAGAGAAAAGGTAAGATGAGTACTGTTGAAGTGGTCGAATTTAAGAAAAAAGGTGAGGTGAGTACTGTGAAATGGTCGAATATGGACAAAGGTGAGGTGAGTACTGTAAAAATAGTCGAATATGATATAGAGTGGGGTGATGGTAGTTTGAAGTCAGAAGTCAACTGCCGATCAATAGACTTTTTGCAAGTCAGAAGTCAACTGCCGATCAATAGACTTTTTTGTCTTTGAAGCTAGTAGTCGAATTTGACATACAGTGGGGTGATTGTAGTTTGAAGTCATGTCAAATGCCGGTTAATAGACTTTTTTGCCGTATGAGAATGTAGGACATATAGGGGGGTCATGGTAGTTTGAAGTGAGAAGAAAACTGCCGGTTAATAGACTTTTTTGCCGTATGCGGAGAAGTCAACTACCAGTTAATAGACTTTGCCGTTGAAGTCAGAAGTCAACTGCCGGTTAATAGAATTTTTTTGCCGATAGTGAGAAGTCAACTGCCGGTTTATAGACTTTTTTGCCGCTTTGAAGTCAGAAGTCAACTGCCGAATAATAGACTTTTTTAGGGTAGTTTGAAGTGAGAAGTCAACTGCCAGTTAATATAACGAATATGACATAGAGAAGTCAACTGCCAGTTAATAGATCATGGTAATTGAAGTCAGAAGTCAACTGCCGATTAATAGACTTGGGGTCATGATAGTTTGAACTCAGAAGTCAACTGCCAGTTAATAGACTTACTCATGGTAGTTTGAAGCCAACTGCCGGTTTAAAGACTTTTTGCCGCATGAGTATACGTTGCCCAGGGTGCACCACGTGGATGTAAGTCTATCGCACACCCCATGTGACTTAAACTAACCACATTTATCTCTCACCTGTGAGCCCTTTGAAATGTGATTCAAAGTTAGTGCCTGCATTTCTGCCTAAAGAATAGAGGATGCATTTTGTAAAAGATCTGGTGAATATCAATGCCAACCGCGCATGTAGCAGATGGTTATTCTCGCTTCGATAATGACCTTAATTAAAGTTCAACTTTTATTTCCAAAGTGCTTTGTTCCTGTCGATACAATGGCACTTTTTATTAATTTTATACAAAGCCAGAGTAGGCGGATTTTTCATTGACAATCCTACTGTAAATGGAGTTCTTTGTTTATTTTTGAAACTAAAATTGAAAGAAAAAATTTGATTGCACAAATTCTCGCTGACTAAGCTACCTGGACCACATCAAGGATGCACAATAGATAGCCTGAAGAGTGTTTAGTAGTACAATTAATGACAAATTGTCACAAAGCTCAACTTAAAATTCAATTAGCGCTACGCCACGCCACCTTTGCAAAAAAATCGATTGATTGCTGGTTGGCTACACGGATACAGCACTCACAAACGCACCTGTTCGCTGCCAGAACAGTAGCACCTCCGCACCGTAACACGCCTTCACCCTTGAACACGCCACAGTACTGTCCGCTTTCAATTAGCTAACATTCTTTGTACTCACTTTGAATTCCATTGAATGCTTCTTATCTCAAACATTATGTAACTACATCCTATGTGATAGATTTGTTTGACAAGGGGGATATTGCGTGGATATCAGTTAACCCCAGTTAGACTCCGATAGGCCTGCTATCCAGGAAATGGACTGCAAATGGCTCCAGAAAAATTATTGTTAAGGGTTTATATAAAGGCATCATCTAACTTCAATTATGGTATATATATATATATATATATATATATATATATATATATATATATATATATATATATATATGCTTTTATCACCAGCCTGGTTCATCGTCTAAACTTCACCAAGGATCTCATATAGTTTTGATAGAGGTTTCCAAACAAATAAATTGCTCCAAACTTAAGAGAAAGATGATTGAACTTTTGAAATTGAATTTATAAAACTTACGAAATGCGATTCAGAGTAGATAAGAAACTATTCACCAGATTAGGCAAATCGAGTTCATTAAATTTTGTGCTGGGTCAATAGGTACACTGATTTACCGCCACAAACAAGCATAACCACCAAAAATGTAGTTTGCATCTTCAAGTTTTCCCTGAACCACATTTCGATTAACTAATCTCTACAGTACTTAAATTAATCTATTAAAAACTTCCTTATTTGCGATTTTCGCATATGCTGTGATTGCTTTTGACAGAGTGTGTGTTTGATGATTCATATACGACAACAAGACTTACAAATAGCTGGTGAATAACACACATAGCAAATATATACACTACTGTTTGGTGCGAAGGTAGTTCAGTGGTCATCATGACAAACCCCTCAGGTCGGAGATAACAATCACAATGAATTGATTAAGACAGATTAGGAGAGAAGCAGTCTAAGGAGAGGTTGCTCAAAAGAGACCATAAGAGAAATAGGAACAAAGAAACATTAATCAGCTCAGAGGACGTGCAAACAGTCGCGATAACGTTAAAGTCTACCCCAAGTAGGTTGAGTCACGCTCTCTTTGGTCGTCAGTGAAAGCTATCACCTGGTAACTTGGGCAGCGCAGGTCATGCACCAATATATTGTTATTTGGTATTTCAAATGGCAGGCTTTGTGATATCTACCATTAGCCCCTTCGTTGACTTCGGCTTTCACGAGGGGATGCACCCTGGACAACGTATACTCATCACACGGCAAAAAAGTCTATAACTCGGCAGTTAACTTCCAACTATTATGATCATGCACCAACATTTCGATTCAATAGAATGCCACAAAGCCTAGTAGAATATATTTTGGGGACTATTATGACTACAATAATAATAATTACCATCAATTGTATTCACGATTTATTATTTAATAAGAGCAATTTCGATCAATAATTTTAGTATCAGCATTCTTGTAAAAAAAGTGCAGGTAGACTCAAGTGAGATGAATATGGAACGTTGTGCCTGATGTTGCTTAACATAAAATACCGTCCGCAGAAGTGGAACATTTGTAAATTTTTGAGGAAATAATATTCTTTGTTTTGAAAATTCGATTGTAGGTTCCATGAAACCACTGCTCAATACTCATTTTGTTTGGTATTCAACTAATACACACCTCCCTAATTATTTAATCGATAAAAGGAACAGCGTTCAAACGTCACTTCGATCCATCTCCCTTTGGCCGATTTGAAATATTCAGACGGGGTTCAAAGCGCTGCATTTCGTTTTGAGTGTGTTCTACTTTATACTGACCTTGAGTGAGAACACAAATTTGCATTTACTAGGCAACTCATTTGCAAAGTCACGTTAACGATTCACGATTTACCTCCCATCGAGGACATAAGGAACATTGGATAAAAAATACGAACATTAAATCATTAGGCGAGTTGATCTGTTTGGCACCTCTTCAACCTCCCCTGGATCACATTAAAATCTGTGGTTCAACAAAGCAATTCCCACTAAAAGACCCTATACTCACACAGAGGCATCTAATGAAGAGACGCCATGAGTCAAGTTTAATTTACGGGTATAGTTGCATTATAAAATAAACAACAGAGAAGTAAACAATAAATAATCAATAAAATTCGAAAAATTTCATTCCCCCTCCATCATTTTTTCCTTAAATATATAACATTAAGCAAATAAGCATTTATTCATACAAAGGCCTCCAAGGTACACCGAAAGATAAGTACAATCAAGCACAATGTATAATATATATATATATATATATATATATGTGTATATATGTACAGGATATTTATCGAACATAACTCCTTCTCCCGCAACTATAAAGAAGCAATTTGAAGATCTAGTTGAGATACCATAGCAAAGGCAGCAAAAATAAGTTTTGTCCTTCAAATTGAGTAGAGAGAGAGAGAGAGGGAGAGAGCATATGCGATGGGAGAGGCCACTTAGAAATAGGGGGAGGGGAAGTGGTTGTAAAATGAAATCTTGTCCAGTGGTTTAGTAGAGACGACTCTTGGGTCCGTCCAGAAAGCGCTAAAATTGAGGGGGGAGGCGGGGAGGTTTAATGTAAATATCTAGATGGATACTTAAGTATGCATTGACTAGACATCTTTAAAAGTGCAAAATGAGGGAGAATGTTCCTAGACGTACACGCTTAATCGATAGCAAAGTTATTCCCATCAAAACAGAAACTTCCACGCCTTTAAGTTACGAGTAGTGTGGAGAAAAAAAATCAATAAATCAAACTGACGAATACCCCCCTCCCCCCACCCCCAATTTAGTCCATTAACGACTTTAGACCAAACTGGTTCTGAAAGCCAGAAGACTTTACAACAAGACACCTAGATGGAAGCACCAAGATTTCCAATGGGGGCATTTAATTGACGACTTTCTAGCCGAGAACTAATCAAGTTCAACAGGAAGATATGATCAATCAACGCTATTTAACTTTCCAACGAGATCGATGCTGATTGATTCACTTAACTGCCAACTTGTGTTAAACCCCCACGGTTAGCTTCTTTAATGATGGATAAGAAACCCCCCCCCCCCCCCCGACTTCTCAGTTAAGGAACCTACCAAATGCAGCCATTCAATTTACTCATCTATTGCCAATCCATGAGCTCAGATAAATTTTCTTCTGCTCTGCTGGAGACCCAAACGTTGAAATTTAAATCTGCCTTAAGAATTAAGGTTTCAAACACTAAAGTCAAAGTTCTAGGTCTGTCTGACCTTCTTCAATTTCATATACTCTGGCTACTCTCACAGGCTGCTGTTTCTTGTCCGCAAAGCGTTGCTTGCAAACCGACCCCTCCTATCTACTCAAAGCCCTTAAATCAGTACGCCAAGGTCATATACAATATAGCTGGCCAATGATTGGTCGCCCAGTAAGCAGGCAAGTACTCGCTTACGAAATAAACTCAGAATGAATTAAATTCACCATTTGAGCATTATTACAGTGACAAATTTGTTACTATCTACTCATTGAATTATGATTCTTAATCGAAAACTAAACACCTTGATTAAAGGGCTTTATGTTCAACTTATGCTTGGCAAGGGTTAGACTGGAGTAGAATTAAGCTGGCTACTCACCGTGTAGGGAGGAACAACCACGGTGATATCGTGAAAGATTCGCCGGTACTCCTCCAAATCCTGCCGTATCATGTAATTGCACTGCGCAAAGAGTGTCAGCCTTTCAAGCTTGGGATACCAAGTCTTGAAATCGCCCTTACTTACCATCAGCATTACAGAAAGGAACTCCGAGTAGACAGAGACGGACAGCACTTTCAAATTTGGGTATTGATTGGGGAAATTGTGTTGACAATACCAGGGGAAAAGTACATTTGGGCCCCAAGGCGTTGAACCATTCATATCACGCAAGGTAAATTCACTTGCATTAAGACACAGCCATAATAACTTTGCCAAAGGTGTACTATTAACCGTTAGAGTGGGAATTATGAGAACATCAAGTCTTTTTAGCCGAGGAAGTGCTTGGATTGGTTCCGTCAAAACTGGGGTATTTCCCCTCCAGGTTGTGTAACAGTCGCTAACGAAGCCCCTGACTTCCTTGAGATTTGCTGACAGACTCTCAAGATTAAAGAGAGCCGGTGAACTGGTACCTGAGAGTAGGTCATTAAGTTCATCAATAGGGATGATGTAGTTGCGTAGATCAAGGGAAACGATATTAAAAGAATGAAAGCCAAGGATGGGGCAGGTTTGGAGAATATTGCGAAATAAGTCCATTCCCCTTTTATCACGTATGATCAAGATAGTTTCCTCTTCGGAAAGAACAAGTTGTTTCATGATTTTACTCCTATTTTCCTCAGAGCCCTGAGCTAAAATCACTGGAGTCTCCACAAGACCCCTCCAGGTTGGAAATACTTGAAGGCAACTCCATCGGTCTAATATTGGAAGATGTTTGATTATGTGCTGTCCCACAGTTCGCTGGAATAACACTCGCTTCTGCAAGAGAAGCATCAAAAAATGCAAATATTATATAAATAATCTTATAATAGCCAATAACGCAATTTTTCGTGGTTCGATGGCACGAATTTTACGATTCGTGATCAAACCTGCGTACCAATTTCGTTATCGATTAGGCCCAAAAACATGCTAGAGAAAACAGTCAATGCAAAGAAGATAACTAACACATACACACACACATATGGTGCTTGCATGAAGAAGAAGAAAACTCACTTCCAATGGCAATTCGCTCTCTCCCATGGAAGACACACGAGGCAGCGCAACCCAGCGCAGCTGACTAAAGCACAACCCACATTGTGTGCGCTTTAGTTAGGAAGGTGGGGCAGGATTGTCCAATCAGAGAAAGGCAGGCAACGATGGCAACCAATGAAAAGCTTGACATGTGTACAACTTAAACTTCTGTTTATTTAATTTACGAGAGCCACATTAGCCTTGGTTATTTACAGATATCGAAAATTTCAAGTGTTGAATAATTGTCTCATCTCCTAGGTAGTGGAGAAAATAGAAACAGACAGACTGAGGAACCATTTTTTTTACTAAAATTATCGACACTTCCCCTAAGCCTTTTTTCCTGCTAATACGGGCTAAAGCCAATCGCGAACAGGTCAGAGAACACAAAGGCAATATTCATAAAGTCATATTTTTAATAATAATAAATTACAATCTTAGTATGTACAATAATTTTAATCTACAATAGTTTTCCCACCAATTTTAGCTGAGGCCAACTTTTCTTGACGGAAATTCAGTTTATTCATCTTTTTGGCCTGCTGCCTCTCACGCTTTCGAGCTTTGATAGCGGCCTTGCGTGCCTTCTTTTGCTCTGCGGTTTCCCCTTTGACCCTACGTTGGAGATTGGCTTCATTACCTTGAGATCCACCATCTTCTGAATCACTGCAACCATCACTTTGATTTGAAGGTAGAGGTTCTGACGGGTTAATCGCCTTTCCGTTCGTCTTATGTTTGGGCATAGCAAGCATTCCTGGTTGATTGAAGATTTCCCCAGACGAATCATTTTGTTTTATCGTGAGAATAGAACCCGTAGATTTAGCTTTTCCTATCCAGTCCTTAAGGGGATCCTCGTCCACCTCCTGTTCATCCATTTCCTGTACGGACTGCAGAGTTACAGCTTTCACTTGAGAATCAGAACATTTCCAATCGTCAGGGTCAGGCACTCTTGAGAAATAATACAATTAATATTACTGAAACTAGATAAGTAGCAATGATTCTACAGGTTGCTCACTTTTTGGAAATCATAATTCTATCGGCATCCACAACTGTTTGCAAGCTGTCACTCATAACTGAAGTACCTGTTGCCATTGAAAGCCCATCATAACCGCTTCTGGATTTGGTTTGCCTCAAAAGCTGAAGCAATAAAGGACGGCTGTTAGTCCAATGAAAATTAGATCAAAAGAAAAAAGGATGTCATGGAATATTGGAAAAAATTGGATATAAGATAGCTTCCTAAAGGTCATATATAGTTGACTACCAGGAAATAGTGTGATCAGTCAACCTGAGAGTGCTGATACAAAACCACAGCAATCATTGCAAACAATAATTAACTAAATAACAATGTCCTCAAACCAATTTAGGAAAAAAACTTCCAAAGCTCGTCTTGAGTGTGTGCAGAAACATACTCCCCACGGGAAAGTAGAATTCTGAGTGATGAACACACAAAGTTAATCACAGTGCTACTAGTGAACAAAATTCATTAAAGGGAAAACTCACATTGTCAAATTTCTTTTCAAGGAGTTCTTCTGAGTCAGTAAGAGATCGACCTTTGCGAGCAGTGGCATTTGCAATGGCATCATTTGAAGACCCTGAAGGAGATTCGAGAACTTCAGAAAGTTCGGACCCATAGAGATAACGCTCCATCATTTTAACTTTATGAAGTGGTAGATAGGAAGTAGAGGGAGCCGGTAGATCTACACCGTGATTATTATTCTGTTTAAGCTCGTGAACAGATTCCTCATCCTCTTCCTCATCACTCAAACGAACATGTTTGCCACCAGCGAGTTCAACAAAATTATCCGGTAGCTCACCTACTTCTGCAATTAATTCATCATCTGAGTAGATTTCCAACTCCTCGTCTATAGGATCGTCTTCTACCACGGGCTCAACGATCGAAGGTACATAATTTTCTGGTAGCACTGCGTCGTCTTCATCTCCTACAATAGCGTAATTCTCATCTTCAATAAATTCCTTCATAGTCTTCATGTGTTTCATATAATTATAACCATCATCATAGAAAACACCATAGTTAAAATGTTCAGGAACGTCCGTCATTAATTTTTGACCAAACGCTTCTTCAGCAGTTCGTTTAGTACCACTAGGTGCACCATCATCAGGAGAATTGCTGGTCTAAATTGATATAATATAGAAATAAACACAGGACCAACCATCACGGTGAACACACGCGCCAAAAGTACCAAATTCGGCGGGTGAGAAAAAGTGCAATACAGTCTATTAAAACACAATTAATCAAATGTGCATTAAGGACCAATTCAGTCAATATTTTTAAATATTGTCTCTTTAATAGCGGTTCTTGTTTTTTCACTGTCTTGTATTAAATATCAATTTATTTATTGTCACAAATACATGTATATTTTATAGTATTCAGCTTACTATACTTTTGATATAAACTTAAGTAAATTATATTATTACTCTAAATCATAGCAATTTTTTTCTAAAAATGAATTGGAGTTTGCATTGTAATTCTTTATATGGTTATTTGGTATATATATACTGGACAGCTATAGAATTTCTTGAATTCAAATGATGTTTCTATAATTCGCTTTATGTTTATATAATTCCTGACTGTTTTAATTCAGGTTTCTACGTAAACTTTTTTGGAAGATTTACTCATAGGAATCTTTACGCTATTCTTGATACTCTATTATTTGTACTTTTTAAATATTTTGTTATACTTTTTCCTTAGTCCTGTCATCGATTTATCCAAAACACTGTTGCTTGTACTTTACAGACTGTGGAATTTTACCATTTAAAGGCCCCTTTGTATAGTAGGTAAAGGTAAAATATCAATAAAGGCACGATATTTACGAAATCACTTTTTACTATAGCATTGGCGTACCTTCTCTTCAGAATTCAATAGTATGGTCGAGTTAATTTAATGTAAATAATATTTGACCTAGACTAATATGGATTTCGAAAAAATATCTTTAGGTTTATCTTTTATCCATGAACCCTTTTAAGGGTCCTCTATCTCCCAATTTAATTTCAAAAAATTGAAAGTCAAAATTATTTACAAGAATACTACTGGTTTATTCATTTCAAATGGCAGGCGTTTTGATAGCTATCATTAGCCATTTAGCTGACTTCGGGCTTCACAGAGGGAAGGTTCATCAAAGTAGCTGAATGTCGAGGGGCGGGGAACAGAAGAGCGATTCACAGATGTAAAAGAGGCAGACAGACATAAAGGTAGGGAAAAGGTAAGATGAGTACTGTGGAAGGTGTCGAATATGACAAGCAGTTGGGCCATGGTATTTTGAAATCAAAAGTCAAATGCCGGTTAATAGACTTTTTTGCTGTTTGAGTATACGTTGCCCAGGGTGCACCACGTGGAGGTGAGTCTATCGCACACCCCCCCTTGTGATTAATAATTTATTGAAATTACACACAAATCTTAATTTTCGACATCATCGTTGTTCATTTTTATTGTGATAAAAATTATTTCTTAATAACAGCCTCACTGTATAAGAATTTGAACGGGGATACCCAAAACAAGTGAAGATACATGCTCGATATATTCAGAAAATCAATAACATGTTGTTAATTCTCCGTAATATTTGAATTACTTCCCGTGCACACATTAAAACCTTAAATTTATTCTGAAGATTTTGAGTAGTTTCGAGCTAAACAGTGACTTGGCAGTTATTTTCAATCGCGTTTTAAAAAGGCGTTTAGTGATGTAAAGCATCGAAACATTAATTAACTCTTACTTATACAATTATTTAAGATACCTTAATTTAAATTTTGTTTTTCTTTTTTATCTATCTATTACTTAAAGAAATAGCTTTGCCTTAACTTTCCAAGTGGGAGAAGATGACACTTAAATGAACCAACATGATACATTTAACTTTAATGCAAAAGGAAATACTGAAGTCTCACCTACTGAAGTGTTAATAATCGGTGAAGCCATATTATTTAATTATATAATTTCATTAAAGATAAAATAAAATTTATCTTATAAATTCTGTAATCTAAATGAAAATGCATGCTTACTTGCCGTGTCTCTATCTATTGAAACAGGGCGACTGTCCGCATTATGCCGAAACAAGTCATTTCCTAACATGCAAGCGGAGGGTAAAAAATTGCCATTCATTTTGTTGGTGAAAGTAGTATGGCTCATTCTATTTGCATGTTGCTGAGGTGATAATAAACCCTCACTATTACCACCAACAGCGCGTTTCGTTTTCATTCATTTACAGGTGCATCTTCTCTTGCTGCCGCTGCGAAAAGTAATTATCGCCAAAGTGCCTGTCTCTCATTCTTACTAGCCTGTCATTTTGTGGCAAAACATTATCTCTCTCCTCCACTTCCCCCCTCCCACCACCACCACCCGGTATTCCTCGATTACGCATCACCACTACCTTAATTTCCTTCCCTGATGATGTAGGGTGTGTTTGTGGTGCGTGCACGTTTAGTACTCTGTCCCTTTGATAGATAGTGGGTATCATGTATAAATATTTAATCAGACACAGTCCACCCTTCCGACCGACTATGCCAAACCACTAGTAATCTTCAGCGACTTTCGCCTGATTTCCGTTTTATACTAATTTACATCAAATCTCACCCTTCTCCTCAATTAACAAATGATTATTATTCAAGAAATGGAAATCGTGGAGATTATGGGTAATTTATCGAAGTGTAATGAAACTTTTCAAAGTACATTTATATATTGGCCTTCTTAATAGATCAGTTAGTATGAATTTAAAATACACCAAAATACAAATTTAGGTGGATAATGATGGTGCATGACATTCTGTCTCTTCCACTTGTCTAGGCTCCTGCCACCCTCAGCCCGAGAAAATGATCATACGACAAGATCTGTCTACTTTGGTGTGCGACTACAAGTTTTATGTTTAGCTAAATGGGATATTTATGACGACGAGGATAAGTCCCTTTACCATATCTCAAGGCGAGTTAACCAAATGACTTGAATCCGAACTTATGCATACCACAATTCCTTAATAGATTGGAATTATAAGAAAGTCTTTTTGTGTGTTTTTTCTTAAACGAAGTGAGAATTGAAAAAGACTATCCACTGGTTGCTATTCATTCCCTTAAAATTCCTAAACCCACAATCGTTTCAAGTTTATTTATCTATTAAATAAGAATTCTCGTTTGTAATCACTAATGGTTTCTTTAAATTGTATTAGTTTCATGTAAATTAATTTTTTAACTTATTTCACAGATTACTAAAAAAGTCACTATTGTTGAAATTCATTTAAACTTATAACTCAGCTCTCACTTAAAGCGAACTAAAAATTATTTTGGTCCAAGTTTGATTATGCAATTCATCTTTTATTGAAAAAGCAGTTTCAGAAATCAGGAAAATAGACAATTAGCACTTCGTTACCAACCGAAAATTCAAATTGCAAACCCGTGAATACAGTCATGGAGTTGGCATTTGTCATTGGGCAGTCAACAATTAGCTATAAAAATAGGGAAGACAAAGTGAAATGGGGGAGTTAGTGAGTCATTGTTTAAATAACCTTGAATCTATTGCCATGAAGGTAATGAAGAAAATGAATAATTCTCGATCACAATGGCTTTATTACATAATATTACTACAGTAACATTTTCTCGCTATAACACGCGGCTCGACCAGTAGGATAAGCACTGTTCAGATGTCAAAGTGCATTAGAGTCAAAATCATCAGAAATTATTCAGTTTTTGCAGATTGCATTAATGAAGAGGAAAATTTCATTCTGTTTTTACAAGTTAGATAGTCATTCAAATTAACATTGGATCCAGGATATGACTTTCTAAATATTTGCCTTTTAAAGTCAGACTTCTTGGTATAATGGATTGTGTGAAACCTAGAAATACCATATTTTGGTGTTTCATTGAATATATTTATTTATACCAAATAGCAGGCGTTATGATAGTTATCATTAGACCTTTAGCTGACCTCAGGCTTCACAAAGGGGAAGGAGCATCAAAGTGAAAAAAGTCGAGAGAGGGTGGAAGGGGGGGAACAGAAGAGTGTTTCAAAGATGTAAGAGACAAATACAAAGGTAGAAAAAAGACGAGATGAGTACTGTGAAAGTGCTCGAACATTCATTACAGTGGTGTGATAGTAGTTTGAAGTGAGAAGTCAACTGCCGGTTTTATCGAATTTCTTACCGCATGAGTATACGTTACCCAGGGTGCACCACGTGGAGGTTAGTNGATTTCGAAAAAATATCTTTAGGTTTATCTTTTATCCATGAACCCTTTTAAGGGTCCTCTATCTCCCAATTTAATTTCAAAAAATTGAAAGTCAAAATTATTTACAAGAATACTACTGGTTTATTCATTTCAAATGGCAGGCGTTTTGATAGCTATCATTAGCCATTTAGCTGACTTCGGGCTTCACAGAGGGAAGGTTCATCAAAGTAGCTGAATGTCGAGGGGCGGGGAACAGAAGAGCGATTCACAGATGTAAAAGAGGCAGACAGACATAAAGGTAGGGAAAAGGTAAGATGAGTACTGTGGAAGGTGTCGAATATGACAAGCAGTTGGGCCATGGTATTTTGAAATCAAAAGTCAAATGCCGGTTAATAGACTTTTTTGCTGTTTGAGTATACGTTGCCCAGGGTGCACCACGTGGAGGTAAGTCTATCGCACACCCCACTGATAGAAAATAAACACTTAAATTATTCTCTAACGGCCACCTCCGTTTATATGCTTGATATTCATTCCAGTCGGTTTGCGTTTAACTTTTTACGAGAACAAAGGAAATGCGTTTTAAATTTGCTGCATTAATTTGCAATCATGAGGTAAACACTTTGACCTGATTCCAAATATATAGGCCATTAAAAATAACATATTTCAATTAAATTGATAAATATCAACTTTAAATGAGCTGTTAATTATCAAAATAGGCTGATATTCCAGTATTATTTTCTAAATCGTCTATCAGTAAATCAAATTAAATATAAGCAATTGCGCATAGAGTGTGCAGTAAGCCAGGTTATAAACTTTCACCTTTTTTCACTCAGATTATGTAAACTAATTTGATGGAATTGCTCTCTCACACACACACACACACACCCACACATACACACACACACATACACACTCTGGTCCTGGCTTTGTTTGAACCTGGAAACTTGTTTATGTTCTGAAGTGGAAACCAATCAGGGGGGATTTAATATCTCTATTTGAGGCATATTGTCAACGAAAGCCCTCGAAGTTATTGTACACCTGAAGGTTCTTGCGATAAGGTGGAGCTATGCGGGCCCTACTTACTCTGCTTGAAGTCACTCTTTTAGTGACGGCTATCAAATTTGAGCAAACACCCCAAGCCCCCCAATATGCAAACCCCGATCAATATGGGTTAGTTCTATCACTGTAGGCAACAAAGTTGGAAGTACCTTTTTAATGCCATGGCTTACATTTCCCTTTTAGATACCGAATGTGTGCGTCCTGGCAACTGTCCGATGGTACCCCACTTTACAGCTCTTGTGACCCATTCAGAACAAGTCGATGTGGAGTTCAATTGTACGTCTTGACGAATAATAATTTAAAGCTTTAAAATGGTCTTACTATGTATCTCATTTTTTCCATTCTAGAGAATTTGATTACCGTTGTTGCAGTGGTTTCCAACATAGCCAAGAATCTCTCGGTGGTGATAATAATCCTTGTGCTAAATTGATTCCACAATTCAACGACTGTCCATCAGTTATTGAAAGTCTTGGTAAGAACAGCTTTAAAAAATTATCATTTTCTGATCGTTTGATTTGTTACCAAAAAATAAGCAGCAAACATGCATTAGAATTTAAGCTCAAAATTTTTTGTTGGCTGTCGACTATTTAAAAAACAACTAATTGAAAGTTCCGACGAATTAATTAGTTTTCAGTCAAATGGATTATTAACTTAAATAAATTTCATTGAAAAGAAATTTCTTTCTTCTAAAGTACTTAATTTATCACGGATCCTGAAGGCTTTCCCCACATAATATTGACTATGTTGTAATTCAATATTTTTAAAACTAAATTAATTGTCTTAATAAAATCTTTCTAAACTTCGAATTTTCAGGTTCTCATTGCCGATGCTAAACTAAATTTTAATTGATGTTATTGATATTTCGTTGCTTATTAATTAAAACATTTAAACTTAAATGGTTTTAAGCCAATTTTGACAAAATCTAAATATTTGAGTTGAAATTTTAAAGGTTTCAGAAAATTTGCATCATATCTTAAATCTCGACCTGAGCTAACTCAGAAAAATGGTCAACCATATACCATCTTTGTGCCACTTCCTGAGGACGGATCAAGCCTCGATCGGATTTATGGAAGGTAGGAGACAATGTTTTCGTTACTACTTATTACTAATTTCACTTCAGTGACACAAATGCTGTATCCTACCATGTTGCTAAGGGACGCTACTATGCTGACGATTTAAAAAATGGTCTCAAATTGGAGTCTCTCTTCAACAATCAGCCGATTGAAATTACACGAACTACCTGTGGAGTATGCCCAATTATTAATTCAATAAAAAATACTTAAACTGCCTAAAGCTCTTACTGTAATTACTAATCGATTTTAGAGCGTAAATGTCGAATGTTCAGAAATTAGCCAGGCTGATTTTGAATGCGGATCTGGTCTTATTCATATCATCAGACGAGCAAGTTTCAATTTTTAATTATTCATGTTTACCATCAGTTACTTATTTCACAGTGGATTTACTTGATACTTTTCAGCCATTAATTCCAAGATCGGGTCTCAGGGGATTGGACAAGTCCTCTGTGATGAATCTTCTCAGGACCAATCCCGAAACCCGTGAATTTGCCAACGATCTTCCATCAGATCTACAACAAGAACTGGGTCGAGTCGAATCTGGCAAATTCTACACTGTTACCGCCCCAACTTCAACCTCTTGGTCTGCTCTACGGAGTCGTTATAATAAAGAACAGCTGCAAATTGTAAGTAGAACTCACTACTTGAGTCCTTCGTCATTAGACAAAAGAGTGAGAGAGAGAGAGAGAAAATGCCTTTCCATTTAATACCCTTCGCAGATTGCAGCATCGCACGTGAGTCCTGGATACAAGTGCACCTCCAATCTTGTCAAGAGAGAGCAGCCTTATCAAGACATTAAGGGGCAGCAAATGAGTGTTGTGTGCAGTGTTATTGGTTCACGGGAAGTTCGAAAAATTATCGACGCTTGTGGAGAACAACATGAGTTCATCGATGAGCAATCCGATCAAGTTGCTGCAAATGGCGTCGTTCATGTTATCAAGGATGCAGCAATTCCAACTTCACGTAGGAATGCACTAATTTCATAGCGTTTGCTTTCTTTTTAAGTTCTGACCTTGAAGGACTTTATCGATCGCCCCGAATGCGCTAAGCACCTTAAAATCGATCGATTTATGGAGTATATTAAAGACTGCGACTTGTACATGAATGATGCCGATCAGTACGCAGTCATTGCTCCAGAAAATCAGGCTTTTGACTGTAAGATTTCACTTTTTTATTATTAGGTAAATAATAATAATTAATCTCTCTCTCCAGGGTGGAGCAAATATCCACAGTTTAGAGAGGAATGGCAGCGCTTCCAAACTGACAAGGAATACCGATGTGAAACAGCTCGCTACCACATTGTGAAGCATAATGGAAACTTGAAGTATATAACTGAATTTTCCGGTCATACCGAAGGTCATCGAAGCAATAATAAAATGAATTATCTTTATGAAACGTCCTATCTCAACAAGGGAAAGATGGGTTCAACTGTAAGCTAAAACATATATATATATGTGCTAAAATATGCTCATAATTAGCAAATCGTGAACATGTACACTTCTCATTTAGTTCTATTGGCACTATGCCCCAGTCAATAGTTTACAACCAATACAACTGAAAGGTTATTCCATCTATAGGACTTCAAGGGTGAATGTTATGCCGGAAAGAAACATCACGGATATTCTGGAGGGACGTGGAGACCTCTCGTGAGTTTCCTATTCAAATGCTTACTTTTAAGAAGGCACGAAAATAGCTTGAAAGTAAAATCGATAATCTAATATTTGTGCTGATACGGTGAAAATTGATTTAGCGCGTCTAATACTACTCCACAAAACTGCTTATAATGATTTACATTACTCTCAGAACAAAAAAATATTATTTGATTATTCTCCTCCTTATTTACAGACACATGAACAGTATCACTAAAATCGCTAAAATGGATGAAAATGTATTCAGAATAAATGCACCGAAGAATCTATATCTTGTTCCTAATGACAAAGGATGGATTGATAAGAGATCAGCTCAGTTGAATAAAGAACTCCTGAGTTCTGAATTGGCTCTCTACGAAGGCCAGCCTATTCTTGCGGAGAACGTAAGTTTATATCGTTTAGACATCACCGCACCAACAAAAAAATTTTCTAGTTTGCTAAGCTGAATACCGTTCCGCTCTACCTGTGGGGTGGTGACATTGGCTACTTCGAAAGGAACTCAGTACATCGATTTATGTCAGCCGCTGGAATCGAATTAATCTTCTGGATGGATAATTCCGGGGTTATGCGAATTGGTTACGATGGTTTGGCGGTGAGTGAATGGGTAAGTTTAGTGACGTGAATTAAGACAATAATAGTGATTTTTTTGTTTATTACTTAAATAATAATGGTGCGTTCACCTCCAGCCAAAAGTTGTGGAATTCAATCTTCCTGGCCGTGATGGAATCACGTGGGTTTTGGATGGTTTCCTGAAATGTCCAAACAGTCTTTGCGCTTTGCAGTTGGAAGATCGGGACACTTACACATTCTACACTGCTGCCTGTCAAACCCACGACCTTCCCGGTGAAAAGGATGTTAGAAAAGCCTTCCAGATTCAGCCGACAGAAATTGCCAAACGACATCCAGATTTGTGTGTGGTCATCAAACAAGGCGAGGTCACTACGGTCAAGGATATATTCGAGGATTTACCAGCCACTAAGCATGAACACTAGACATCTGCCCGCCCCAAATAATGAACATAACCGCCTCTCTGATTTATTCCCTCTATCATCCTTCTTCTTATTTCGTCACTTTAGAGTAACGAATTTTTTTCGCCTATTTCGAAATTTAGTTCAATAAATACTCTCTCTCTATGCCGCCAACTTCCTAAATAAAACCCTGAGTCAATGTGAGGTTACGTAATAAAAGGTCTTAAAATGGTATGGCACCGCTGTCTTCGATTAAAGTGACATCCTATCAACACCCTAACATTCGCTTTGAATGGAGTAGGATTGGCCTTTGTATTCAGAGTAAATGAGACAATCAGTTAACGAGATTCTAATATATGTGATAAGCGTTAGAAATGCGCAGTAATAGGCTTAACTTTGAGGGCAAAGTTTTGCTTGGAACAGTAATTGAATTGATCTTAGAATTCGGCAATTCCCAACCGACATTTCTTCCGTTCTGTTAATTTGATAATATTCACATTAGGGGAGTGCCTGGTGCAGAAAAAAAGGTCAACATTTAGCAAAGGAAACTGATGGTAAAGGGGTGAGTGGGGGGGNGGGGGGGGGGGGGGGCGGGGAGGTGTTTGACATTGTGACGGTGTTGTTAGGAGCTGGATCTGTATAGCCGAATTAGCTTCCAACGCTGACTTATGGNCTCGATCACAATGGCTTTATTACATAATATTACTACAGTAACATTTTCTCGCTATAACACGCGGCTCGACCAGTAGGATAAGCACTGTTCAGATGTCAAAGTGCATTAGAGTCAAAATCATCAGAAATTATTCAGTTTTTGCAGATTGCATTAATGAAGAGGAAAATTTCATTCTGTTTTTACAAGTTAGATAGTCATTCAAATTAACATTGGATCCAGGATATGACTTTCTAAATATTTGCCTTTTAAAGTCAGACTTCTTGGTATAATGGATTGTGTGAAACCTAGAAATACCATATTTTGGTGTTTCATTGAATATATTTATTTATACCAAATAGCAGGCGTTATGATAGTTATCATTAGACCTTTAGCTGACCTCAGGCTTCACAAAGGGGAAGGAGCATCAAAGTGAAAAAAGTCGAGAGAGGGTGGAAGGGGGGGAACAGAAGAGTGTTTCAAAGATGTAAGAGACAAATACAAAGGTAGAAAAAAGACGAGATGAGTACTGTGAAAGTGCTCGAACATTCATTACAGTGGTGTGATAGTAGTTTGAAGTGAGAAGTCAACTGCCGGTTTTATCGAATTTCTTACCGCATGAGTATACGTTACCCAGGGTGCACCACGTGGAGGTTAGTCTATCGCACACCCCTATTTCAATGAATATCAGAAGTAATTCATACTATCTTAGATATTATTTCAAGCCTACTCACAATCCGTCTATTTCATCTTTAGTAGTAGTAGAAGTCGTAGCCTCCAAAAATGAATTTTACAAAATATCTTCAATTTTCGTTTTTCTTCAGAGGTCGTTTTACAAGGGATTTGCAGTGTTATTCATATTTTTATTTTAAAATTAGATTCTGCTATGCCGAATCATGCCTTAGAAAGGAACGGAAGACCAGAAAAAAAGCATTAAAAAAAGTTTGAAAAGGTTGAATCAATCCAAAAATGTTTAAAAGAAACAATTTTTGCTATTAGGTAACTGCGTAAAGTAAATTCCCAACTGCACGCTCATTAATTTCAAGTTTATGGCGTCGGACTTGAGACCTGAGCAATCTTAAGTATTGCCATGAAAACAGAAAGTTCAAAATCATATCCTTCGGTGAATTTAATGCATTTTTATTTCGTTCTTTGATATTGAAAATACCGTAGTTGATGAATTCCTACCTCCATAACTTTGCATGAAAAACCGACTGCTCATGTTTGACTACTTTCCCGCTGTTGGTAATATTTGAATAGAGTAAAATCTTACCATACAAACGTTAGTTTTCTTTTTTCGTCTCCTCAAGGGCACTGCTGTTTATCAATCGGAGGAGGACAAGGATTCAGATGCTGAACAGAGCTCAACTACTGAGACAGCTACTGCGAATGCAGCAACAGCCAGTAGTACCCAAAAGCGAACAGACGTTGAGGAGTTAGCTCTTGACCCAAACCACAATTACTTCATTTTCGCGGACACCCCAAAGACCGACCACAGCAAGGGTAGAGTAGCCGAGGTACGGGCGCGGTTTGAGCGCTGCATTTCATTGTGGAGCACCTCTACAGTTGAAGCTGATGCACCACCGCAGCCAGCCCCAAGGTTATCTCAAAGTGGAGTCCCTGGGAAAAATACATCTCTTTCAGGTGCAGAACCAGACGAAGATTATGCAAGTGCTCTTAAACGCAAGTCCACAATTCGCCGACAGACCACCGACAAAACAACGGCTGAAGGGAGACCTTTATCTCGATCTAGTTCAAAGTTTAAGAGTTCCGGAGGGACAGGAGATGGCACCAGTGCCGGTGGTGGTGGGACCGATGGCAATGCGGGAAAAGATGGCGGGAGTGGTGAAGGTGTTAGGATTCCCATGTGCGGACTTGTGATTGGTGGGGATCGATTCACGCTTCGACAAGTCTACTGCTCCATAATGCAGAATCAGTGTCCCATGGTGGTAGTGAAGGTTAGTTACAATCATTACTTGGGGATTGCAATGACAGTCAAATGAATGTATACCTAGCTTTATTTGGCTCTCAGAAGTCCACAGTGATACCCTAGGGAGTTCAATCTTGTCGTAAATCTTCTTTTAAATGTACCTTCGTCTCACTAATTCATTTAGCATTTATAAGTTGGGATGAATCAAATTAATTGCAGCTTTGCATTTTTTGGAATGAAATAATGGGCTACCGTAGATGAAATGTGCGTTTTAATAATTAAACATATAAATGTTAATTTATATTTTAGATAACATAATATAAATAATTATTTTCTTATTTGGCTTTGAATTAACGCTTGATCTTAGTAGAGGGAATTTTTTAGATCTGTGACATAAAGCCCTCAAACTGCTACAAAATGTGAAGAGAACTTTGTTTATTTCCAAACTCTTATTTTGAATGTCTAGATTTGACCCCCAAATCACTCTAACGGAAGTTGAACTTTTAATGTTGCACACCATTGTGATAATCGTAAGTTTCTGAAGTGATTTAAGTTCGCCAACCCTAAAATTACCTATTTTTATTTACATTTATTTTCTCCGAAGATTTTTTATTACATCTTCCTTTATTTCGATTTAATCAACAATTCTTCTGTTTGGCCTAAGATTTGCAAGAGGTAAGGGTAGATTGAGACATCCAATTTAAGAGATTAGGAATCATTCTAATAGCCGACTTTGGATCATGTCTTTCTTTAAATTAGAACTCCGAAACTAGAGAGAAACCTTTTGCGTGTTGGGGGATAGCAGTTAGAGATATGACGGTGGGAAATGCATTAATTGCCGATTGGGATAAAGAGAATGAGTTGGCCAGGAATATGGATTAATATGAAATGAATAAATCGCCATGTAAATGATACAGGCTGATGAGCTGTGCCTTCGCAGTGCAGAGGAGATTAAAAATCAATAATTGATAAGCATAATACGTTGGTTTCACTCGTTTTATGCGGATATTCGAACTTTCAAATAATTTCACATTTTATCAGTTGATAAATAATTACTTCAAAAATGATCTTTAAGAGACATGTAGTGAGTATTGCCGTACTCTCATGAAATTATTTATACACTTTTTTTATTAAACACATTTTCTTCAATCAATTTTGCCTTTCTACCGATATGTTAATGGTATTTCATTTAATTTTGATTTTTATTCACAAGTGTTTTGGCCAGGTTAAAGTATATTTAATTAAAATTTACAGCACAAAGTTGTCTATTTTAGGGTACGTCTGGTGCTGCTGACGTAATTGCCTTTGGACTAGAGGCGGCTACCAAAATGGAGACAGAAGAAATTATGGAAGACAAGGAGGCGATTACCCTAGAAACAAGGTCAGTTGTCTGGTTGACAATCGAATCCCAAAAAGAGGCCATTTTGGCAACTCAACATGTGGCATTCTGCTCATATTAATTAATTTATTTATATCAGATGGCAGGCGTCTTGATGGTAATCATTAGCCCTTTAGTTGACTTCAAACTTCACAGAGGAAAAGGAACATCAAATTGAAAAAAGTCGAGAGGGGGGGGGGGTACAGAAGTGTGTTCCAAAGATGTAAGAGACAAACACAAAGGTAGAAAAAAGGTAAGAATTGTACTGTGGAAATAGTCGAATATGGCATAGAGTGAGGTGATGGTAGTTTGAAGTGAGAAGTCAACTGCCAGT